CAAATTAGAAATCCTTAAATCCAAAAGTTTTCAATGCAAACCAAAATGAAGAAAAACCACCCATCACTAGATGATGCAGCAACTGGGACCTAAGGTTTATTCCATCATGGATAACTTCTAAGCTTGCATTCAGGTGTAGCACACTCGGTTTCAATTTCAAACCACTTTCAAATCATTTCCATACATCATTCAATCCCCAGATGTCACTCACTTGGATTGTGCTGTAAGAAAGTGGGGTGGAAAAAGGTGAAGGATTGGGGCATGGGGAGGGTTTGAGGTAGGGACTCACTAGGAGTAAAAATATTGCAACATTTTTTTTCATTCATACCCAAATTTAAGTGGGCTAATTGGATTGCTTCGAGTTATCCAAGTTCATGTAAGAATTGGGTCAACGTGTTTAAATTCAAGTGGTTTGCCATGTCAAAATCAGACCATGACCAGTTAATTAGTTTTGTTAAACAATTTGACCCGTATTTTACACCAACAAATTTAGGTACAACTTTACCTCTCTAATTTCGTATTGGGTTCATATTGTATTAACGTGTCATGTCTAAACTTCTCACCTTCAACCAGATTTGACGTCATATCTATTCTTATAAACAGTTTTTTAATTTAACCAAAACAAACATGAATTAACCTATATAAAGCTCTAATCTCAACTATTGGTATTAACCACATAAACCATCTTCCGTAGTTAGCACCACTTAGAATAATGAGTCAATGGCATTGCTTGCATAGTGGGTAAGTTCTGGAGTTTGTATTGCTTCGAGGCAACATGGAAATAAGGACTATTGGTTCCAATCGGTTTGGATTTCACTAACCTTACTGAATTGGACTGATTGTAGAGTGGTGATCTTAGCACTGATGATGGTGGCCTTCATTGGTAATTAAATCTGTCATAGATTGATTCTCCTTGGATTTCCAAAGAGTTATCGGCCGTTTTTCCTCAAAAACAGTTCCAAGACGTCAATTCTATTTAGTTAACACAGCACAAATGCTGAGCCAAGCCTAGTTAAACTTAAGGACTTCATTGGGACTTCTAATTAGAATTCACTTTTTGGTGGTAGATATTAAAGTTCTTAAACAAAAGAGGACATGTCTAAAGGGACTGGGAAGATACCTAAAAAATTGACATATTGGGTAGATAAAGAGGGGTATAATAGATCAACAATTAGGTTGAGCAATAATTAAAATAAGAATTAATTATTTGACACATTATTTATTATTCAATTTAATTACAAATATACTTTAATTTTTTTTATAAAAAATTATTAATTAAATATATTCACGTGTAACGCACATCGTGAATTACTAGTTTTATTGAAACAAACTAGTGAGAAGTAATTTTAAGAAACCAAAACAAAGATATCACTCTACTACTCCTGAATCATTCTACATCAAATTATATAAAGGGATAATGTTAGTCTAATAGGTCTCTTTAACGGGTCAATTGAATACTTGAATTAGTGTAGAAGTGTTGCTTTACACAACAACATTGTATGTCCAGAAACTCATCCTTTATGGATATGTACAAAAACTAGTAACAATATATAAGCTCAATAACACTACCGCACCCACCGAAAAATAATCTGATCTTGATTTAAATTATTTTTAGTTATTAATTACTGAATAAATAAAATAAAGTGAAATAATAGATTAATATCAACTTTCTATTATCTTGTGATTGGACTAGAAAAGTTGTTTTTGGGTTATGGTATGTAAGTCTTTTATTCAAGTAAAGTTGGAAGTGTAGTAAGCTCCTCAAAGTTAGATGTGGTTGGATAGACTGAAATCGGTTGAAACTGCATTACTGAAATCTTTTATTTCGTTTTCTACTCTGTTGGGTCCTCCGCCGATATATTTTCAACCCATTCTATTTGAATCTCTCACCATCTATTCTTTTATTTCTTCTTGGGTCTTCTCTCTCTTCCTCTCTTATGGTTTGTATATTTTGTGGGATAATGGTAGAGAATACCCAAAAAAATCAAAATTTTCAGTGTTTTGTTAGTCTGAAATGAAAAATAATTGAAGAAATAAGTTTTCTCTATGCTTAGATTTTCTCACAACTAATCAACTTTTTTTTCTTGCAAAAAACACAAGAAAAATCTAGAAAATTGTGTTCTATAATCTACCTTCCTATTTTACCCTTATTTTGCTTAAAATATTCAATTCGTTGCTGATTTTGAAAAAAACTTTGTATGAATTAGACCAACTATATAATTTGACCTGAAGATCTGAGTTTGGACCGATTCTTGTCTCAAAACTAGGTTAGGAGTCACTTTTTTAAAATTTTAATTATAATAATATTTTTTTTCTTCTATAGACTAGTTTAATACATTAAGGGTAACTCAAATAATTAAAAAAATTCTTATAATTTTCCTTTCTTTCAATACAAGTTTTTCATGCTAACCAAATACATACATGAAAATATATTTTCTTTCACGTTCTTTTCCTTCACTTCACTTTTTATGATTTTTACTTTTCATTGTTCTTTTCTTCCTAATCAAATAGACCTTTAATCTATCATTCTTTATTCTCAATACACCACCAATGCAACAAGTCTACTTGAGGCTTATTTCGGTTGATCTATCATTAAGTGAAAATGTAATGGAGAGGATCGAGATCTAAGTACGGACATTTACATTGCGTAGAACTTATGCAATGATCAGTTACACTTTTACTCTGGATTTGCAAATTGCTTCATAGGGGAAAATACTGTTTTAAACAAACCAGCCTATTTGATTATATGAATTAAGGGCCACCACTAAAGTGTGCCTACCTTCAATATTACAACAATGCTTGGTACAGCTGAAACAAAGAAAAAAAATTTAGCGCATTTGAATTTATCAAAGAAGGGCATATACATAGGAGGCAAGGGATCATATGCCTAGAGTTTTTAACTGGTGTTTAATATCATTGTGCTCCACCAACTAGCAAATCTGGATAATATTTCCATCAATATCATTGTACTGAATTCTAATTAGAACTTTAATATCTACAGCCTCCTGAATTCTAATTAAATTTAAGGAATTCATTGGGTTAACTTGATCAGTTAATTTAGTCACTTATCATCTATGCAAACACAATCAACTTTTTCTTTGATTTTCTTTCTTCTGAATTGGTAAATAAGAACTTTAATATCTACCACCAAAAAGTGAACAGGAATACAGAATATCAACAACGTATCCATACAAAAGCATTTAAGTAATCAAAAAATAGAAGTTAAATTTACTTAGAAAAAGTGACTTTATAGATAGAATTGGCATCCCAAAACTGAATTAATGTCAACAAACGCAATTTATTAGTTTGTTATGAACGGCAGTAAGAATTTAAGAGCGAGAGAGAGTGTGGGTATTTTCGTGTGTGTATGATATGGGTATAGAGAATAGAAAGCTCACACGATCAGCGTCCATGTCCTTTGTCACCTTCAAAGGCTTCACGATTTTCTTCCCTACAAGTCAAATTCAACAATAACACCTCGTTCAACTTATACCTATACATTAAATACATATGCGTAGGTGTATGTGCATAGAGAGAGAGAGAACCTTTGCGAGTGTGAGGAATTTTCCCATGGCGACTGGGAGGAATCGATTTCTTCTTTTGTTGGCCTTTGAACAAACTGGCCTTTTGAGTCATTTTTCTCTGCGATTTTGTTCCTAGGGTTTTCAGAGGTCTTGGGTTTCTGAAACTTATACCTGAGAATTTTACAAGAGCTTTTCGGGGAATCGCACTTTGTTCCTTAAAAAATGGGTAAATGGCACCGATAGTCCCTTAAGTTTGACACTTATTACACTTTAGTCCCTGATGTTCTAATTTTGACAATTTAGTCCTCCGTGTTGTAACATTGACTGACTTTCGTCTTTATCCCTAACTATCATCTAAAATTTTGACGAAAAATGGCGCGTGAGCAGCATGTGATGGAACAGGAAGGGCAATATAATCATTTAACCTTCCTTCTCGGCAATTTAACCTCTTTAGTTGCCTGAGTGTGTTCCTGTTGTCAATCATACCTAGGGTTCGCAATTGGATTTGGGGAATTCGTATTCTTCTTTTGGTGCTGTTGAAATTAAGAGTAGTTTCTCACCTATTTAGGGTTTCAAATACTCCTATAATGGCCGATTGGTTCAATTGTCAACGATGTGAAGACTATGACTTCAATCCAGAATACGGTAAATCAAGGACCTTTAAAGCTTGAATAAATTTGTTATTCACTCTTTAACACATCGATTTTGCTAAAAAAAACTTCATGAATTGGACGTATACGAAATAGTTGTTGCATGCAATCTGTGATTTTTTAATACAATTTTTTTGTTTTACATGCATGTGGTCCCCAGATTTTGTTTTGTTTTATATGCATGTGGTCACAACGTTTGATAATGGAGTGGTACCCATTATGTTTTGCAAATCCAGATTCTAAGTATTTTACACTGAAAATGCATCATGATGGGGAGTTTCGAGACAACCCACCTAAGGAATATGTTGGAGGTAAAGTCGATGTCTTCCACCACAGACATCCAGACTTAATGTCTTTACTGAAACTTGATGAGATGGCGAGGGGGTTTAGGATATGATGAAGAGATTCTCAGGTACCATTATCTGATAACAGACAAGAATTTAGATAATGGTTTGATTTTATTGTATACTGATAATCAAGTCTTCACAATGTTTAATTCATTATATCCCAACACAGTTTCTGATGTTTACATTGAGCATAGATCATTGTTTTATGTATTTGATGAGAAGGGGTAAGAAATGATGTAGATACTAGAATTAGACATTCTGTTATTATTGAGGAGATTAATGATAAAGATTTAAATGGCTAAAAGGAAAGTCAAACAACTACTGTATGTAGTACAGGAAATAATAAGCAACTATATTTGCTGGAGTATGTTGAGAAGGAAAGAGTAGGGATTGAGAGAGACAGTGCAACAGTTGGGGGTGACATAGAGAATGAGGGAGCTGGGCTGAGAGAAACAGTGCAACAGTTGGGAATGACGTAGACAATGAGAGAGCAGAGGTTGAGAGAGACAGTGTAACAATTGGGGGTGACATAGAGAATGAGCGAGCTGGGGCTAAGAGAAACAGTGCAACAATTAGGGGTGACATAGAGAATGTAAGAGTTGGCGCTTTGACAGACAATGAAACTTCTGATGGATCGGATTTTCATGACAGTGAATATGATGTAGAAGAAGATGAGAAAATGTTTGAGACTTATGTTGATATGGATGTTGAATGGGCAAGTGTGCCTAACATTGGAAAGGGTGTGGAAAAGGAGAAATCAATAGACCATGGTGATGCTGAGAATGATGAGGTTGAGTCTGATTATAGACCATCAAATGAACTATTGAGCATAGATGGTTTCTCATTAGATAAAGATAGTAATAAAAGGAGAATGCCAAAGTACCCTGAGTTTAGGGCTGAGACTGATATGAAGAATCCAACATTCAAGCTGGGGATGCTTTTTGGATCACCTGCTGAATTCATTCAATTAGGGAGGGAAAACAAATAACCTTTAAGAAAAATGATTATGTGAAGGTTAGAGCAATGTGCAAGAGAAAGTGCAAGTGGATGGTTTTTGCATCTGTTATGGATGACAACAAAACATTTCAAGTCAAAACATTTAATGGTAAACATACATGTGGCAGGTCATTTAAAAACCCAATGGCAAATTCTAATTGGCTGGCCAAAACTTACCTCAATGAGTTTAGAGGGAATCCCAATTGACCTGTTTGAGGCAATCATAGAAAGGGCAATGAAGGATCATCAATTGAGTTTTTCTAGGGATCAATGTTACAAGTGATTAACCCTAATTAAGGCATAATTTAATAGGTAAATTGTGTTAGTTGAATAAAATTAAACTAGTCAAAATAAATCAAATTAGGGTTAGTGTGTAAATAATGGATAATGCATTAATTGTTGTTCTTTTCAGGGTTTTGTGCGTAAAAGCTACAAACTACTGGGATGCTAATTCTCAAAGCTCAAAACAAAGGGGGATCAAAGAATTCAAGGCCACCAAACAAGTCTTTCATGAAGTTCAAAGCCACCTAACAAGACTTTCATGTAATTCAAGGTCACCTAACAAGACTTTCATATAATTCAAGGTCACCAAACAAGACTTTAACCCTCCCTTGTTGCTTATAAATACCACCACTTAGGACTTATAAAGCATTCATCTTTTGGTAGTGAAAAACCCTCCAAAAGTATTATTGCTTTCCTTATTGCTTATTGCTTTCTTTAAGTATTACTTTCTTTTATTATATTATTGCTTTCTTTTAATTTATTGCTTTCTTTAACTCTAAGTATTGCTTTCTTTTATTGTGTTATTGCTTTCTTTTATTTCCATTGCTTGAGCTTCCTTCTTCCCTTAGAGGAGTGAAACTCTTCTACTTTTCTAGAGCTTTACCAAAGCCGTGAAGTGTGGAACGTGATTCACTCATTTTTTGTTGAAGATCGACTCCTTATGTAAAGTGTTTTACCTTGTAACTCCTCTACTTGGAGGGATGAGCATCACTCACTTTTCTAGCTTTAACAAAGCCATGAAGAGTGAGTAGTTTCTCATTCAATCTTTAGTAAGAGGTGNTGTCTTTATTTTAAGCATGAATAGCTAAATCTCTTAGTTGGAAAACCAAGGGGAACCTCCACTTGGGTATACCATTTTCAATTCATTCTCCTCCCTTCTTTCAGAATTCAATGGTTCGGTTTGACTAGGTTGAGGGTGGATAACTTGGTGAGTCTTTGATATTCCGTAGGCCTAGTCATGGTTTATGCTTAGATACTCACCAATCTTACCCCTAGCTTCCCACGAATCAATCGTTCATTCATGCTCTATTGGAGGAGGGTTTCGAGTTGAGACGGTATTCCTATTGGAGTGACCTCTTGGATTTGCCAACATTTGTTTCTCATTTTACTAGCATCAAAACAACTTCACCAAACAACTTCCAACAATCAAAGATTTTACACTTTCTTTCTCCCAAAATCACCTTCCCCTCGGTTTACTTCCTTCCCCGTGGAAACGACCTTGGAATACCACCAAGTAAAACACGATCTGCGAAAGTTTCTTTGCGCTTGGGGAGCACTTTTGTTCACACATACTCACATTTAAAATCTCATTCATCCACTATTCCATTGCCCTTTCTTTTGACACATCCCTAGGAGAGTGACACTCCCCTTCATTCATATACTATACATGCTAAAGGTGATGTTTAGAGGTTATGAAATAACAAGGAATTTTGTCAAGCAACAAGGCAAAAAAAAAAGCTACGCGAATTATTGAAAGTAGTCATGCAGAGCAGTATGCTAAATTGTGGGATTACTGTGATGAATTGAAGAGGACTAACCCTGGTAGTACTATAGTAATGAAAATGGATGATGTGTCTGAGATGGAATGTGAACCTAGGTTTGAGAGATTGTACATATGTTTAGATGCATTGAAGAGGAGATTTAAGGATGCATGCAGACATGTGGTGTGCTTGGATGGATGTCATCTGAAAGGTATACATAATGGATAGCTACTCTCAGCAATTGGTGTAGATGCTAATAATAGCATGTACTCAGTTGCCTATGTTGTGGTTGAGATGGAGGGAACAACCACATGGACATGGTTTCTAACCATTTTGGTAGAAGATCTGGGAATAACCAATACACATGGTTGGACTATTATGTCTGACAAACAGAAGGTATGTTAAATATTATTTTGTCAAACATGTTTATTTAACAATTGTTATAGCATAACTAATTGAGTTTTGTGTTTGTATAGGGACTGGAGCATGCTACTCATGAGTTGCTTCCTAATGTTGAACATAGGCACTGTGTTAGGCATTGCACAACAATTTCAAGATTAAACACAAGGGAAAAGCACTAAAGGACATTGTTTGGGCTGCTGCAAAATCAACTTATGTCAACCAGTTTCATGAGAATATGATGAAATTTAAAAATGAAGATTCACATGCATCTGCCTGGTTTGAAGATAAGCATCCAAAGAACTGGTCTAGGTCACACTTCGGCACATTATGTAAGTGTGACATACTTCTGAATAACATGTCGGAATGTTTCAATTCCTATATACTTGGGGCAAGAGACAAACCCATTCTATCAATGTTGGAGAGGATAAGACACTTACTAATGAGAAGGTTGTTTGCAAAGAGAGATATAATGAAAAAATGGGAGGGTAAGATATGCCCTTAAATCCAGGAAATTTTAGAGAGGAATAAGAAAGAAGCTTCTTTTTGCATTGCTTATTGGTCTGGAGGATCACAGTTTGAGGTTAAGCATTGTTATGGACGTCAGTTTGTTGTGGATATGAATGAACATACTTGTGCTTGTAGAATATGGGATTTGACTAGCATCCCTTGCTCACATCCAATCCAAGCAATTGTCTACAAGGGAGATGAGCCTGAGGATTTTATGGATGATTGGTATACAAAGGACACTTACCTGAAGGCTTATGAGAATATTATTCATCCAATAAATGGGTCCAAGCTATGGGTTAAGTCAAATGAAGTTCCTCCTCTACCTCCATTTCACCATAAGCAGCCAGGCAAGCCAAAGAAACTGAGAAGAAGAGAACCAGATGAGGCAGCAAAACACAATCCAAATCCCACAAATTTGAGAAAAGTCCAGATTTCATTGAAGTGTGGCAAATGTGGTGAAAAGGGACACAATAAAAGAAGTTGTATGGCAAGTTCTGGATCTGCTCAAACTTTTGGGTCTGCTATTGCTCTAACTTTTGGGTCTGCTACTACTCAAACTTGTGAGACTACTACTGCTCAAACTTCTGGGATGGCTACTACTCAAACTTCTAGGACTGCTACTGCAAATGCAAGTGTTGGAGTTGGAAATGGTGTTCAGTCACATAGGATAGAGAAGTTACAGGTCAAAAGAAATGTTATCCCACCAACATCATCACAACAATTCAAACCACCTCGTTCAACTCCAAATCCAGCACTATTCTTGTGGAAAGGTCAGGCATGTATAACCCTTGCATCACTTCAATCATTACCAAACAAGGGGAAGGTTGGAGGGAATCCAGATAATGGTGGTGTGATGGCCAAGGGGAAAGGGGTATAAGATAATGGTGAAGTTATTCCAGTAGTTGTTTTTGCAGACAATGTAATAGAATTGGGTAGCTTGAACATTGTCTATGAACCACTCTTTTGTTTATGTATATTATGCCCCTTGTATTATTCTATTTTACATAGTACATTCCATCAAACAAATAAGTAGGTCTTTGGAAAAGAAGACAAGAGAAATTCATTCATAATTAAATGGTACAAATGTTTTTTCTTACTTACATAATCAACACAACCTTCTGCACATCTAAACAATAACCCTTCTGGACTAACCAAACGGCACATGTCATTCTTGATTTCCTAATTCATAACCAACTGCAGGATTACTCTCTTTGTTCATGTTCATGCCTGAGTTCTTCCAATTCATCAACACAACCAATCATGTCAGAATCAACAAGATCCCCAACATCTTCTCTCTATGTTGAATTCTTGTCAACTGTGCTTCCATTCTTTTGATTCTCACCAGCATGCCAGGAATGATGTTCTTCGATTGGTTACACATGGGAGGGTCATACCATTCAAAATACCCACATCCTCCACTTTGCTGCATACAACAGATAACAAAAATATTGCCAAACCTTCCGAAAAAATTAAGTAATTCAAAACAACCCAACTAAAATTTACCGTATCATTCTCGCAACGAAGGAATCTCCTACTGGGATTTTGATCTGTCCAAGAAGTAAACATCCTTGTCCTTCTCCCACAATAGCAAGACATACATTCCATTTTCTTCTTCCTTCGTCTTCGTCTTCGTCTTCGTCTTCGTCCTTGTCCAGCTCCCTTGTTCTTCGTCTTCGTCATCCTCAGCCTGGCTTGTGGTTGAATGATTCAATTGTGAGCTAGGGCAACACAATTGAAGAGGTTAAATGGGCGGGAAGGAAGGTTAGATGACTATATTGCCCTTCCTGTTCCATCACATGCCGCTTACGTGCCATTTTTCGTCAAAATTTTAGACGGCAGTTAGGGGTAAGGACGGAAGTCAACCAATGTTACAACACGGAGGACTAAATTGCCAAAATTAGAACATCGGGGACTAAAGTGCAATAAGTGTCAAACTTAAGGGACTACCGGTGCCATTGACCCTTAATAAATTTAAAAATTTATTTTGTACCTTTAAAAATTAAATTTTTATTTTTTAGGATCATAAGTGAATTAGCAGTGTTCTACCACCGAGTGAGGTGGTCGAATGGGGTATCAGCCGAACTTCTCACCCTAAAGTTGGAGTTTTGAGTCTTGGAGTTCACATTGAGGTTCAATGATTGACTGCTATACTAGATTCATTTCTGAGAAAAGTAACGAGCACACTCAAGAGTCTCATGATTCCACCAGTGAGGGCCTATCGAGGTGGTGTCTGAGTACTCTCTCTTGCCCCACCCCTTATTTAAGTATCAAAAAAAAAAAAAAATCTTAAGGTCATGGGTTCAAAAATTGTCTCCACAAC